TTCTGATACAGGCCAGGATGCCGTTGGCCTTCTTGGCCACCTGGGCACACTGCCGGCTCATGGTCAGCCAGCACCCCCAGGTCCTTTTCTGCTGGGCAGTTTTCCAGCCACCCTTCCCCAAGCCTGTAGTGTTGCATGGGGTTGTTGTGGCTGAAGTGCAGGACCCGGCACTTGGCCTTGTTGAACCTCATACAGTTGGCCTTGGCCCATCGATCCAGCCTGTCCAGATCCCGCTGCAGAGCTTTCCTACCCTCGAGCAGATCAACACTCCCACCCAACTTGGTGTCGTCTGCAAACTAACTGAGGGTACACTCGATCCCCTCGTCCAGATCATTGATAAAGATATTGAACAAGACTGGCCCCAAAACTGAGCCCTGGGAACACCACTTGTGACTGGCCGCCAACTGGATTTAACTCCATTCACCACAACTCTTTGGGTCCAGCCATGCAGCCAGATGAGATCTATGAATGCAGACTGGAAGGTAAGGTCAAGCTGTAATGAATGTCATTAACTTACGCTGACCGAATTAAGTGCTAGCTTCATTTAGAGAGTGCCATTGGGCATTACTGCAATATGTGTACTTAATAGTAATGATAATACTTGTCCAAAAAGAAGCCTGGTGGCGTTAATAATTGGATAGTTCAGGTTCTCTCTGCTCATGGTTTACAGAAGGTGCAGTGGGTGTTGCTTCTCCATCTGCATATGTATATGCTGCTGTGAGAATGTGGTTTTATCCAACTGACCACGTGTATTGCCCTGATAGCATTTCCAGTGGTGCAGTGTGCGCCACCAGCCATCCTGTCACGCATGCTGGATGCAGTTGTTGGCAGGTAGTCAGAATAGCACTGGGAAGCCAGGGTTACCCTTTTTTCCCCCTCAGTATGGGTGTTAAATGGTTTTCTAGTTAAATCAGGGCACTAAGCATGGTGCTTCACTTCAGTATGTTTGGAGCAAACTGTATGAGTCTGTAGCCTTTTCACAGCTATTGAGTTAATGGGGTGGCTTTTTGGATGAAGAGTCCATGTGTGGCAGCTGCTTTGAAGCTCTGGGCTGCATAAAGCACATGTTCCCATGACAGTCGTGGGAAGGGGAGCACTCCAAGTCTTCAGTAACTGGGGCGCCAGTGGAGAGTTTCATAGCCCTGACAGAGAACGAAATGTGCCCTTATGTAGTAAGCAGGCACAGAGCAAGCAAAATGACAGTGATCCCCACCTACACCTTCAACTGTTGAGCTGCTGTTGTCCTTCCAGAGAAGACTTCAGTTTTGCTGGCAACTGCATTGATTGACTCTGACTTGGGAAGGAAAGTGACAGAACCCACAACAAATGTGGAGCTGCTTAAAAAGAGCTCCAACTCTTTTTACATGGAGATGATTCAAGATACTGCCAGAAAAAGTGTTTCCTGGGCCCAGTGTGGCTTTTCCATGATGCAAAGGAGAAGGCAGCTGTGCCAGAAGGGCCGTAGGCCGTTTCTGACTGCCTTATCTTTCTTGCCAAAGGAGTAGTGTGGGTACTATCTAAGGTAGAGGAGCTTCAACAGGACAAAGGCTGAGAGTGAAACTCAATGATAAACACGCTTGGCTGGGATGAATGACACCCAAGATCCAGGCCCAAACGGACTAAAACAGTAACTTAATCATTAGATTCTTCTTGTCCCAGATTTCTCACTTTCTCTACCCCTTCCCTTCCCTTTTTCTTTTCAAGCAACTTCAATTCTGGTCCTAAACAGAGTGCAGAGAAACTCCAAAACCTACACTTCCCCCCCCCCCCCCCCCCAATGGAATAACTGCTTTGCTGCCAGCCTTTGTCAGATGTCCTGGGCATTAGCAGATGGTGGTTATATGACGAAAAAGGCAGCAATAAAATCTCTTGTCTATAGACACTGTTTGTGCCACAGCATTGCAGTGAAAATAAATTACTTTTCAGGGACCTTAACCAGCAATCACCCCATAGAGTTTTGTGTGTCAATCTGAAAGAGAAGGCGCCATTTGATTGTTGGAGCTGTGGAGACCACTAATGGTGAGACTTCAATGGCATCATGTACCTGCTTAAGATTTCAGATGTTATGGTGATAAGTACCTATACAAAATATGAAATAGATAATTTCACCCGGTGATGATTCATGATACAGTATTAGTCAGAAAGTAATAAATGGGGTGCTGAGGATTATTTTACTAGCAAGTCAAAGGGTTGTTTCTCAAGGATTTGGTGATTCTGGTGAAACTTAGACTTAACAGCAGAGTGTTTGTAGTCACTAGGAAAGGCATCCACCTAGCATAA